CCCGTGAATCTCTCAACTCATCTCTGATTTGGCAGAGATGAGTTAGGAGATTGCCATAATGGTAAGCCACCACCGTCAACTGCCGCATAGTATTACCATCGCGAATACGTGAGCCGCCAACGGCAACTGGTAGATGGCACAGCCATCGCGATTGCGCGGGCCCCTACCAGAAGTTCGTTGCGCCGCCCTTGGGGGCAAAAAACGGTGAAAGCTAACGTACGAAATCAGAGGGCAGCACACGGTGCGATCGCGCGACCCTGCACGTGAGCAATCTCCCAACTCATCTCTGGTTGGTATTTCGTCATATCCGGTAGACGCCATTTTCTTCCTCACTTTTCCTCAAGTGGACGACGCGGGCGGTTGTGGTATTCGTCTTGCGACGCGGACCCGACAGAGTCCGCGTAGCTGGACGCTATTTCCATATTTACTAGCGTTCGTTAATACTTAAAGCTACTTAGCCGTACGTTGCACCTTCTAGAAGCTCGTTCGATCGTCGTTATTCCCGTGTGCTAATGCGTGGCCTTTCAGAAAGCTCCCCAAGTCGCGCAATGGCGGAGGACTTTGATGTCGAAGCGATGCTGGAGGCGCCATATAAAAAAGGGGTAAGGACAATTGCGCTTTTTGGACCGTTTTCATGCTCCTTAAGAAGACGTGCTCGCCCCTCGAGCGGGCAGCGCGTCGCGGACAGCGAAGCGTTCTACCGCGGATTAAAATCCGTGCTTTTTGAAAGTAGAACGACCGTTCGCCTTATGACTGACTACTATTGATCAATACCTCCATTTTCTGTACTTATAGATGGTACGTAACATGTACCCTCGCGCTCGTACGATGTTCCACAGCGAGTTCCTAGAATGCACTTGAATACGAGGTACTAAGAAAGCCATCACTATCATCATTCTTTGCCAAGCTAATGATTATCGTAACATTAGGACTTAGGTATATGTATTTTAGTATCTTAAGTTGGAAGAGCTACTGCGGAACTTTCTGGAATACCTGCAACTAGGCGCCGTTCCATGCGTACGACGGTGCATCGAATCGGTGCGACTTTTCTACTTTATGGCTCTTTGCGATAAGTGTCCTCCAGATCCTATCGTTCAATTGTCTACGGTTCTTCGGTACATGGTATTACCATATTCTGGCACTGGCATTTGGGAGCACACGCCTTGGGATCCCTAGTACATTTTAGAACCTAATTTTACATAGAGATCACGCAAAAGAAGGGTCATCGGTAGGTATCTTCTAGTCCATCGTATTCCTTGACTTTAAGGAGTACAGTTATAAGACACTTTGCCCTTTTATAATTCATGTCAGGGATTTATAAAACGAGCTTGAGAGATTCGATCGGCTTGTCTAAGATTGGTACTAACTTATATCGACCTTCGATTTTGTATCGCAATTGTGTGTAGATATAGACTTGTTATCATATCGATATGATATATTACATATTGCTAGAACTTTTATATCAAATGATTGGTCGCTTTAATTTCATTTCAAGTCTTGAGAAATGACTAAAAAATTCCAAGTTATTTTATCATATAGAATATCGCTCATCTAAAATTTAGAGATTTTACGTCATGTTTTTCAATAATTAAAACATGCTCAACTCATTTGTTGATCACTGAAAATTATAAAGTGCTTTCACAAATATGTCGTTTATATTGCCTACGCGGTCAATGCCATTAAGACAATTATAAAACATTGCAGGGTATTCAGTGAAATTTTAGAGGGGTTTGAAATTTTTGTAAAATGTACATAGATGCACGTTCTCTCTTTTGGTTAAGTATTTGTTTGGTTGAAATCCTCTTGACATAGGCAATGGTCCACGAATTGACTCATTTAATGTCTCTTCTGGTAGTAGCATAAATGCAAAGCGTTAGGAGGTTAGGATTAGGGTCTTCAGGTGTTACTTAAAACCGTACTATCTTTGACGAGGGCTCTCTTTTACAGAAGAAAAAGGATGTGTGGTTGGCCATTGGTAGTTTAAGACCAAGGCATGCTCAACCCAAGATTGCAATGCTTTCCTAAAACCCGATAAACAATTGGTAAGTTTGAGCCAGGTGTATGCGACACGTCGCGACGCTATGCTCAGCCACCTCCCCAAGCCTGACTGTAAATATCTAGCCGAACAAAATTGCGCTGCCGACGCCGCCCCTCAAGTAGCGATCAAGGAGAATTGCCTCATCTTTAATTCCAAATCACTGTTTCATATTATTAACTTAATTGTAACTATACGTATGTTGTCGTTACAAAATAACTAACACAGACTGATTTGCTTTTTGTCCCCTTGTTCGCGCGTCCCTGCCACATCGGCTGGCTGGCATGGCATTCAACTGTTTGCTGTTCGTAGGAGCAGGACTCCTCTTCCAAAGACAAGTCCTCCAAGGAGAATGGGTCTAGCCGTAAATCATCTGGGTAAGATTTTACAGATTTTGTTTCATGGTATCAAGGTCCTACGGAATCATAATGCGCTCCCAAATCAAGCTTAAAAATAACCGATGCATCAATCATTACCACTCTGTAGATTATCGAGATAACAGTACTAGAGTCATATTAACATTTTACATCGCTCCTTTTTTTAGTATATTTCTGAGATCATGCTTCAATATTTTTTAATACATTCAGGAATTACATAATCTTGCAATGTAATAGCGTTACATTCTAGAAGAGTTGTAATCATACTGGGTCTTTCAGGTTGATAAAAAATTGTAAAAGATAATAAGCAAGAAAACGTTTCACGGTTCATATTTGCGAAGCCTTAACAACGCTTCGAGTGGGATCCTGTAAGATCCGCTGATATATTTTCAGGACTCGGTGTAGCTTTCTAAGTTTCAGAATTTCAGTTCAAGGCCCTGTTCTAAATTTGTACATGTAACATCGGTGTCGTTTTGTAAACAAAAGAAAGCTATTTTTCAAAATTAATATGAATTGTGAACAGTGGCCCATTGTATCCATATCACTCTTTATTGTGTCGATAGATTTCACAACGATTACTTATATTCTTTTGCACGACTTTTTAACAACAATAACAGTAAGAAAATGTTGGATAGTTCCTTATCCTACCTCAAGTTGTATTCTCTTTGTTATAGAAGCCATACAGTTAGTGTAAATGGTGCTTAATTTGATAATTCCAAAGGTTAAACCTGAAGATGGTGAGTATATGGGAAGCATACTCATAGAAAACCTGGAATATTTTTATTACTCCAAATTAATACTTCTCAGAGCGAACAACTTGCAAGTAAACATTACAGTATATCTAACGTTCTCGTTCTGATAAAATCTATAAGTATAGTTTTTCCGTGCCTTTTCAAATTAAAATATTTAGCAAATGCAAGCTAAAAAATATTTATCTTATACTTCGCGTGACAGATTTGTCAGAAACAGATACTTTATACTGTACTCAACTTTGTGCATATGTAAACATCGGCCACTTGAACATAAAGCAGAAAATATGTAAAGATGAATTTAAACCGAACACAATGTAGGCTTAACATTTGCTCATTCTGACCAATATTTGTAATAAATGAGAAATCAAAGGACTTCTATAGATTTATGTGCTATCCTTTTGTATAGTTAATTTTAGGATGCACACCAAAATATAATTCTTTATTACACAAACGCCCCTTTGTTAACATTCAATTCATTTTTGCATTAACACCGTATGGAATAACTTATTAAGAGCAATAAAAAAAAAAAGAGTTATCCAAGAGTAGGTTGTAAATTATTACATGAGACTTAGTGACAAGGTTTTCGATGGTACGATATAATTTTCTTCTCCGATAAGTAAATTAAAGTACTGTTGCATTTGTTCTTCCGTTTCTCTGGGAGATCACGAGTCGGTACTTTACAGACTGGTGTGCAACTCTTTTATCTCTAATGGCGTTGCGAGATTGATAAATGACACGGTGACATTTACTTGTGTTTTTTATAGGAAGAACAAACATCGCTCGAAATCTCGCTCCCGGTCCCGCGACCGACGCGACAAGGAGCGTCGGGATCGCGATCGAGACCGGGACAGGGACAGAGATCGCGACAGAGACCGAGACCGAGATCGAGATCGAGATCGCGATCGCGACCGAAGACGGAAGTCACGTTCTCGGGACAAGCGAGAGCGAGAGAGGGACCGAGAACCAGAAAGGGACAGGGACAGAAGAGACAGAGATCGCGACAGAGACAGGAGGAGAAAAAGGTCCTTGACACCAATAACTCTACCCAGGGCTCGACCACCCTTTGGAAAAGGAGTAAGCCCTCTTGGCATGTAAGTATCCCTCGAAAAGCATTAAAAGTCTTATTTTAAAATACTGCATAATCTGACTAGACCCGACCGAAGAGTCAGTGCCATCTTCTTGTCGGGGGATATATTTATGCTATAAGAATGTGGCTGCGTCTCATTGGGTGTCTTACAATTATATTGTTGGGCATCACATGCGTTCCAGACATTGTATAACTCTTTTTTTCTAATCAGTTTGCTCATCGGTGCTGAAAGATGATTGAACTTTAGATAGAATGTTTCTGATAATTATTCTCTAATAATGAAGTCGCTTTGAATGCTCGGAAAGGGCGACCTAAATTGATACATATATTTTCGGATTCGGTTCAACTTGTTCTGGCAACGCAGTTGAGAATACATATGAGTATCAGGATTGAATATAATATTTATCCAATTCTTCTGTTTGTTTAGAAATGATGAGCTAACTCCGGAAGAACGGGATGCTCGAACTGTGTTCTGTATGCAGTTGAGCCAACGTATTAGAGCAAGAGATTTGGAGGAATTCTTTTCGAGTGTTGGTAAAGTCCAGGATGTCAGACTTATTACTTGTAATAAGACGAGGCGGTTCAAAGGCATCGCATATGTCGAATTCAAAGATCCTGAAAGTGTCACACTTGTAAGTTGATAAATTGTATTTGTTGTATGTTTAACCTATGATTCTGGTATTGTTCTAAATGCTGCTTTGACGTAGAGTTCGTAAATATCTTCTGATTAAATAATATTGTAAACGTACATGCATTTATCACAAATACTTTCAGGCTCTGGGACTCTCTGGTCAGAAACTTCTCGGTGTACCTATTGTGGTGCAACACACTCAAGCTGAAAAGAACCGCATGGGTAATTCTATGCCCAACCTAATGCCTAAAGGACAAACTGGTCCTATGAGACTTTACGTTGGATCTCTACATTTCAACATCACAGAAGATATGCTTCGTGGTATTTTCGAACCCTTCGGCAAGATTGACAACATTCAGCTGATCATGGACCCTGAAACTGGAAGAAGCAAAGGTTACGGGTTCCTCACTGTGAGTATTATATTCCTGAAGGTAGACTTTTAATATTATATTTGTCGTTATTACCCAGATCTTTACAATCAAATTATTTTTCATACAGTTTAGAAATGCGGATGACGCGAAGAAAGCTTTAGAGCAGCTAAATGGCTTCGAGCTCGCTGGTAGACCTATGAAAGTTGGTAATGTTACGGAACGAACAGACTTAATTCAGGGACCATCTCTACTAGACACCGACGAACTGGATCGAAGTGGGATTGACCTCGGTGCAACTGGCAGGTACATACCGTAACAAAAATCAAATTCATAGGCAACGTATCATTGATGTTATACAAAGATGTATTAACATACAATTTGTTTCAGGCTACAATTAATGTTCAAATTAGCAGAGGGTACGGGTCTTGAAATTCCCCCTGCGGCAGCAAATGCTCTTAATATGGCACCTGTCATGACAGCTCCTCAACCACCACCGCAAGCAGCTCCACCAATCGCTACGCAGTGTTTCATGCTTTCAAACATGTTTGACCCACAAAAGTAAGTTAAACCCTTACATTTACTAAAAAGATATTAGTCAATTTTACAAGTGAATGTTGATTCAATGACTGATGCAATGCATATTTGTAGACCTAGTGAAATGTTCTATATACTTTCATCAGGGGGAAAATCATATGCTAAAGCAAATTGTTTTCGTTTAAATTGCATGCCCTAATTCCATTAGGGCACGCTTGGCCACGATAATCGAACACTCATCATTTTTAACAGCATTCTCTTATTATTCCATATTAAATGTTGAATTAAATATTTAACAAATATGTAACATATGTGATCGTTACAGTGAAACCAATCCAAACTGGGCAAAAGAAATTCGCGACGACGTGATCGAGGAATGCAACAAACATGGAGGGGTACTACACGTTTATGTGGATCAAGCATCACCACAGGGCAATGTATACGTGAAATGTCCATCGATTGCAACGGCAGTAGCTGCTGTAAACTCGTTACACGGCCGGTGGTTCGCCGGTCGTGTCATAACGGCTGCCTATGTGCCCGTTGTCAATTATCACTCCTTATTCCCGGATGCGATGACGGCCCTGCAACTTCTCGTCCCAAGTGCCCCAAGACGGGGAATGTGATCCTAAAAATTAACAACAGTTTCGTGATGTAGATTCATTTGCAGTCTCGTTCTAATGTTACGGCATAATTTTGGTACACATAGTTGCACGAACTTTCAATGAGCGACGAAGCAACCACTGGCGAAATCAATGATGAATCCGCTGTACGGTGATTCCTTAAAAAGGAGACCGAAAGGAATCTGCGAAGGAACGAATAAACAGTACCGTTACAATATAACATCACTTTGGATGTACACTTGGCGTGGAAAATGACTATTTTTCAAATTATTGATTTTGCGTTGTTCATTTCTTAGACGAGGAAAAAAAAACTACCGAAAGTAATTCCTACCTTCACCTTCGAGCTCAACGATATATTAGCTAGTTTTGAAATTACCAGATGTATCGAATTATAATGTAATACCTCGAATGTTCCTTTTCTATTGACACACGATCAATGATAATCGATATCGTGGTGGAAAGATACGTAACTGATCGTTGAATCAAACCACTACCAGTTCGTTAACAGACACGGTGTAATGTGGAATTATTTCGAAAAGTATTAACTTATTAACTCTAGGTTTGTTACAATTTTTATAAAACGAGTGTTATGTGAGGATCTGCGACTATTTGTTTCCATTGTTGGCTGGTTTTACATTCGAAGTATCTACGATCATCACTGTGTACTTTCCCGATGTTGAGAACTTACGTTTAGGAATTGATTTTTGCCATGTACAAAGCCTAGTCTAGTATTTGCGATTATGGAATAATCCAACGGGACTTCACAGGATGTGAAAGGGTCAATCTACCTAAAAGTGTTTCTTGTCGCTGAATACTTGGAAATTCAGTCACCTAAAAGTGAGATTTACTTACAATGTTCGGTACTAGTTGATTTGTAATATTTGTTACATACATTAATCGTAAATTCCCCGAATTTTCTCCGAATATGTTACTGCGGATTGCTGTATCCAAGTTACGAAGGAGATACTGTACATATGTTTTGTAAAATACAAACTAAAAGTAGGATTACACGTTACACAACTATATGTCGTAATAATACAAATGTACGGTATAATACAAACGAGACAACCGAAAATGGCCGAAGTGTTTGCGACGACTAAATTCATTTTTTCACTAATAATATACAAAAAAATTAGGAATAAGCTGATAACCGTCAAACCTTTGAAAGTTAGTTATTACAAATGTACGCATAATCATTAAACGGCCATTTGTTGCGTGTAACATACGTATTAAAATCAGAAGTGCGTAAACCAAAAACTTCTTATTTTCGACCGACAGCAAAAATTTACAAAAAACTGCTTCTAACCACAGTGAAAGTTAAAGTATATACAAGCTCAAAATGTGTCATAATAAATAAAATACGGGTACAGGACGAGTGCATATATTTTGTGTGTCCGTGAGTACATATACCACTTTTATTTCGATTTACCTGAGATCGTTATCACAATTTAAAATATTCTAAAACCGGTAGGGTAGACCGTCATACCGGAACAGTGAATCATGACAAGCCTGTTCAGGGTTTTCACAATTGCTTTCAGTTCTCCAGATACATTTTTTTAAGATATAAGTAAAGAGGACAATTTACTGCTGACAAAGAATGCACTAAAGGGGAATGACTAAGTCTAAAGTGTTTACTAAAAAGACACGATTCGGTCGAGCGCTTTTAACAAAATATCGTCTCCATTGTCCAACGCGTAAACGCAAACATCCAGCACTGTTTTTTTTTCATTTACTGGAAATTGCAGATTGATTACATTTAAATGTGAAATGCGGGGAATAAATTAATATCGGTATTACGCCTCGCGGTCGATAATTTGTTCCATTACGGGTTTATTCTACGCCAAAAGTAACGTGCAAATGACGTGACCCTTTTATAATCGCAAATATCCAGCAGTGTTTTTTTTATTTCCGCGAAATTTCAGATTGATTAAATTTAAATATGGAACGCGGGGAATAAATTAATATCATGTTACGCCTTGCGGTCAATAATTTGTTCCGTTGCGGGTTTATTCTACGCGATGAGTAACGTGCGAATGGCGACATGACCCTTCTATGATTGCAAATATCCAGCAGTGTTTTTTTTGTTTCTTCGAAATTTCAGATTGATTAAATTTAAATATGGAACGTGGAGAATAAATTAATATTATGTTACGCCTTACGGTCGATAATTTGTTCCGTTGTGGGTTTATTCTACGCGATGAGTAACGTGCATATGGCGGCGTAGCCCTTCTTTCTGGTCGAGTCGTGGGCGCGACCTCGACTCGGACTTTCCTAACGATTTCGAGACACGTCCACAAATCCTGGGAACGACTCCAGTCCATGCACAAGTCCTCACAGGAGGAAAAGCCGATCGTGACCCGACTACGCGTGCTCGCGACCATTCGGAACGCGAAATGCCTCCCAATGTTATTTCTCGCAGTTTGTGTCTTTTTCTGATTCTTGCGTATTTGTTCTCAGCTCGCAATAGTAAGGAGATATTAGATTAAAAAAAGATACTTTCTTTCAAAAAATGAAATTTCACGGGCAGCGCGTTCTTCCTTAGAGCCTCCATAATCACGTGTTAAAGTTTCAGATAATTCGGTGCACCCAGTTTGGAGAAAAATTTCATAAATATTTTGACTTTTTAGTACGTATATATCACACTTTTATATCACCTTAAACCCTTTAAATGTACTAATTATTTGACCACACAAATAGAAGAATTTTAATCCGTCTAAAAAATGAAGTCCCGAAAAACGTATTCTATATAAAATTTGCAGTGCCAATAAAAGCTTGTACCCTTTCGATGTGACGATCGTTTCACCGCGCAAATTGAAAAATCGTCACGCTAATCGTTCCGAAAAGCGGATTCTATACAAAATTCGCGGTTACAAACGAAAGCCTGAAGCCTGATGCTTTTTTATCTTTTTTTTCTTTGTTTTGTAGTCTAGAAGGTGACTGGATCGACATGAAGGAATTAGTGGTTCCCAGGGCTAATTTTCAATTCCAAAATGTCAGGTGAACGGGATACAGGTGCGGCCGTGCCGGACGCTCGGGGACGGGAGAGCGGAAGCGCATCCTTCCCTCTCCTCCTGGAATCGGTTTGCTACCCCTCTCTGGCGATCGGCCTCGCTTGGCCTCCGCTTCGGTCTTCGGGACGAATACCGCCAGTTGGGGACCTACGGAAAGAGAGAGTGAAGCGAATCGACGCGTGCACCGAATCAAAGGATTTGTCCCTTTCATCCGCCTACTTTGCCTATCCTCTAGAGAGGAAGAGGCGACCTCTTCGAGGTCCTCGGTATCGATCTGCCCGAGGACTCCAAGGATCTGGAAAAGTGGAACGAAAGATACGTTTGAAGAGAACCGAGACCCGGCCCTTTCTCTCGACCTCCATAATTCCTGCCTAATCGTGTTCTCTTTAATTCGGGAAACTCCGATCCAGTTCCTTCAAGACTTGAAGGGAGAATAGGTGAACCGAGGTGTACTTCCAATTGTTAGAAAATGACTAGCTGAAGATCGGAAAGAGCGAATCTAATGTAGAAGGACGCCGATCGAGTTAGTACGAGCCAGCGACCCGAATTTATCCATCCTGTTTCCTTTTCCTTTTACCTTGATGAAAGGATACTCCAAGAAGCGGCTCGCAAAGTTGCGCCGATGGGTACTGGAAAAATATCAAGGAGAGTGAACATGGGTAATTATCGTGCTCAACGGTTCGATTAAAAATTAAAAACAGATACGCCCTAAACAACCTTCACCGAACGTGCAAGGGTGTATCGTGACAGAGTAATCATGAATATTTATGAATAATGTTTAATAATTTTTGTTTAACCTGTGATTGGAAGCTTCGCTTCCAATTTAATATGACATGAAAATAAATGTGGCCAAAACAGTCGGTGCATAATTATTATTTCACGATAATCATACCTACACTGTTAAAAACATGGTGTTAATTTTATAACATAGTTTTGAATAAAATGTATAACATGTGTTATAAATTTAGTACACACGTATATAATGAAATTATGAAGGATGTTAGTAATTTTATGATATATGTATCATAATTTCAGAACATTCGTATGTAGTAAAATGATGCAAAAAAAAAGGTAATAATTTTATTATAATTTTAGAAGACACATTTACAAAATTATAAAATAAAATCATAAGATTAAAAACTCATCTAAGAAAATTATAAATAACGTGTACCAAGTGACTTCCGAATATAAAATTTATAATTTTCCCACACAATTTCACACTATTATAACATAATGTTATAAAATTGTAAATTCATTTAGAAGTTTGCATCAAATCTGTACTGATACACTTTTAAGACATCAAATGTATAATTTTATTACAACCTTATGTACTAAAATATGAATTTTTTTAACAGTGTAGTAATACCTAATCACTTGCTTCAACCTATTATTAGAAGCTTCGCTTCCAATTTAACGTCATCCTCATTTTTAAGGGAGCCAGGAAAATTGCGGGTAAAGTTGAAGACCACTTCACCGATGAAATGGTGGGCGCCGAAAATTCACCAAAGGTGGATTCCAAGATTGGACCCCGATTATGTCCGTCGGTGGTGAACTGGGAGCTCAACGAAACGGTCAGCGTGAGCAGCGGCTCCAGTATGGGGATGAAAGTGCGACCCTTTGTCAAAAGAGGTGGCATAGAGCTCATCCACGCCTTCGAAGTTGAGAAAAAAATCGAGAGCAACCTGGATCCAGATCCAGATCCAACTTCCAATTCATTAGACAATACCTCCGAATCTCCGGTTACTTACGGAGTGGCGGTGGACTCGAAAAGAAGGAAGCGACGAGGAAAAGTCGAGGTCCCGAAGGTCCAAGATCCTGGAAGTCCAGCAAAGACCAAGATGGATAAAAGCGATTCCATCTCCAGGAGACTGGAGCTGATCAGAGAGCTCAATCGGAAGATCCTGTCCAATTGTGAGAAGTTCCATCAGCGGCCTAAAACCACAATTCGGAGTAAAACGACGTTAGGGAGTAAGAACGCCGTTAAACAATCTCGTTCTTTACCTTGGATGACCGAAATTGGAGGGTACGAAAAAAGAAAGGATTTAAAAGTGGCCTCTGTGGTCGGGGAACGTCGATTAAGGGATTTTAAGGTAGATAAGGACATGGTGGAGAAGACGGATCATCTGGAGGTGAATAGGCTGGCTAAGATGGGGAGGATGGATAGGATCGATGGCCTGGACAAAGTGAATAGACTGGAGAAGATCGATAGGGTGGGTAGGATCGATAAGGTGGAGAAGGAGGAAGATAAAAGCGGATGGATCAGAATCTGCACGGGCGTTGACAGTGCCCTGATTCATGTTGATTTCGATACCACTTGCAAGGATGTCTGCAGGGATACTCTGCTGCCTGAAGATGTCACCATTTTTGTGCAGGTGAATGATTGTGCTAAAAAATATTGTAAATTTGTCACTATCGCTTGAAGCTTCGTTCGGACATGTGATACTAATTTTATAGTATCTTAAAATAATACGTAACGTATGTAACAAATCTGGTACGGATCTTTCACACTTGATCAAAATCAAAAGAGAATGAGATTTATTTAGAGATTTGTAATAAGTGGGTATCAATTCACTTATAAGATGATTATTTTTTACGGTATATATTTAAAGGTACAAATGTTTAGTATCAATGGCCGCTATGTTTTAGTATGGAGGTGAACCGGGAAGGAGACTGTCGTACCTGGAAAATCCACTTAGAATCCAGGAATCCTTTTTGCGGAGATTAGGATACAGAGATGCATCCAGACGCAAGAATTTTGGCATCGATAAGGAGCTGAGGCACCTCATCGCTTTCCACACGGGTTAGCGTCAGCCTGAAGTTATTGCCTGAAATGTCGAAACACTTAACAGCGAAATCAAGTATTCTGCATTAATTTCGATTTTTATTCTAGGTCCTGCAGAGCCCTTGGCAGAATTAAAGGGCTATACCCGATGCGGACACGTCCTCGTGCTGAAGGGGTTGGTCTCACCCCAATGGAAGCGCCGCGCCCTTGCAGTCGTCGGATCCAGGCTCTTCCTCTACCCTGGTAATCAGTCTTTTGTTAAATCAGCATTCGAAATCGACAGTCCATACCTGAATCCGATATCAATTCGCAGCCTCTCCCGAGTCGCGACCCGAGTGGATGGAATTAGGCTTTGGAACTGACGACCTGGGCCGCACAATTGGGGGTGGCAGAGGAGGTGCCGTTTGTCACGCACCTCCTCGACTTGGCAAACTGGTACTTCGTGTCACTGGTTTGCCCATGATGTCACACGAAGAACCCCCAAGGCCCCATCCCGAGGCCAGACACCTGTACCTGGGTTTCCAGCACCCCTGGGACAGAGACCTCTGGCTTGGATGGCTTAGGAAGGTGAGTCGACATTGCCTTATTACCTCGTCGACTTAACGGGATCTGCGACTGCGCAAATAAAAAAGAGTAATTCGATTAAGCCTTTTCCTGAAAACAAGGCACTAAGATAGAGGAATCAAGAAACTGAATTTTTCAAGAAATACCTGGCTGATCTGAGCGGGTCTTTTCAATTTTCTCTTCTTTTTAACCCCTTCACTGTGGCTGGTCTATATAAAGGAAAGACATTACACGCCCTATTCCGATTTTTATGAAAATGGATATATCCATTAAACTAATTGGATTCTGAATTATTAATATCGTATTCGGATTCAACTACCGTAAAAACTTGTATAATATAATTTGTGCGAATTTAACATACCCAAACATGGCGTTAAGGACTAGGTAGCGTCGCGTGTATGTGCGTACGTACGTATGAATGCATTTGGAGCGAAACTCTGCCGAGTCTTCCAGGTCGAGTGAATCCCAGAACTCTTTTCCCACCTCAATAGCTCTGAGGGTTCATTTTTCCTATATTGTAAAGGGGTTAATTTCAAGAATCACGAAGGAAAACAAGTGAGTTACGTGAACTACCCGATGATGGTTTCGCTCCAGAGACGTCAGGAAATGACGAATTACGCTGTGAAGGGCGCTTCTCGTGCGCGATGTTAAACCGTCAGTCGTCGGTCGTCCGCCTCGCCGGCCCCACAGAACTCGGCGTCGCGACGTCGGCCGCGTCCGCGTCTTCCTCTGAAAAATGGCAACCATCCTTACGGCTTATTGCGGCACGGACTCTTTGGAGGTGACTCCAAAACGTTCGCGAAAATGCGAAACTACAAATTCCCTATAGAAATATCATTAATCATTCCCAATGCTGAACATAATTCCCGATTTACCGTTCCAGGGTAAGTGCACCGTGTACACTTGTTAAATTATCCAAAATGTGGTTTCTATTCCTGCCGGTTAAAGTTTAACGCTTCGTTTTCAAATTAAGTCGTTTCTCCTTTACATCCATTTCGAAGCACGGATTTCGCTATACGTTTTTAGGGTAAAAATTGTGTTTTAAATGTTAATTTTATATTTTTTTGTTGCGTCAATGGCCACTGGTCGTCCACGCACTTGGTCCTTGATACTCAAAGAATTCTTCCAGAAGGAAGTTAACAGTTCTGGACCAAATGCATCTTTGATATTGCAAGCAACTGCAGCTGCCTTTCAGCTCATCTCGAACTCGTGCAAGAGAATCGCCGGAATTCTCATCCTTTCCATTTTCAATTAAATAACCTGAATGAAACAGAAATTAATATTTGAGGCAATTATCGTATCAAAATGTGGAGCAAGTTTATTTCAGTTAAATAATTATTCCTTGAATTAACAACATTTTTCTTTGGTTCAACATTTTTTTTCTCAGGGTAGAAACTTTATTCGAATACAAAAGATCAAATGTTAAACCGCAAAGACCGCGACAATTTTCTGGACGGTCTAATACAATACTTTGTATGCCAGGATTCGTACAATAGATCGAATATAGGAATTGGAACAATTTCTATAAATCCGCATGTTTGTGCAACAATCGGTGCGCTTACCCTGAGGGTAACCCACAGTGTCAGTGATGGATTAGAGTGTGGATTGATGCGAGTTTCGGTCCCGTTAAGTAAACTCACGGTGCAATCACGCATTTCTAACGAGATCGATTAGGCCACGTCGGTGGCTTCAGGGTGCAGCGGAAAACTGGACCTCGATAAGGTTGGACTGTCCAGGATCCCGGAGAGCGTCCTCGCCTTTTCGGTAGAAGAGCTCCTCCTCGGGGAGAACCAGCTGGCCTACCCCGAGAGCAACCTGGCGGTCCTACAAAGGTGAGTCGTTCAAAAGGTACACTGATAAGAAAGGCCTCACTGATCCAATGAAAATTTGAACAATGCTCATTCGGATCAAATGACAGGGTTTTGATAGAATAACATGTAACTACCTCAAAGAAATATCTGTTTTTTGTTCAAAGAAATTATAATATTCTGCGAATTTCATTAAAACGCGTCTAATTGCGACAAATAACGGTGGATTATTGTATTCGATCTAAGGAAAAAAATAATTTCTTAGATATGAAGAAATATCTCATTTCATTGAACGGAAAAAAACGTTTGAATAAAAAATTTGTTTTCTTACAAGAAAATCATGTCTGAATGAAAGTAAACAAATTACATGTATAGTTTCGACTTCTTACTTCATTATTTTAAGGTATTACATATTCGATCGATGCAGTGCACCAAAGTTAAACATTCGGAATTTTTAGGCGAAGACTATATTTCTTTAATTTTATACAGCAGTTTCTTTGTCTCCATTCAAAGAAATAATTTCTTGGAGAGAAAAAAAAATTGTTTTCTTAGCGTATACTTTACACCTGAGGATTAATAATTCCAGTAAAGGTAGAGTTTTGTATTAAATCTCCTGCTTGTAGATTCCAGAACCTCCGTTTCGCCAGCCTGAGGGACAACGGGCTGGAGGCGATCCCTCGGGAACTATTTGAACTGAGGGGACTTACTCGCCTGGACCTTTCGGGAAATAGGATCCATCGCGTCCCCGCTGAAATCAGCCGATTGGTTAAGTACGTCCTTGTTTATCTCACAAGTCATTAATAAATACCTCCAACAATCATTGAATGCGTCTATGAAATTACGAAACTTTGGGTGGCCATCTTGAATCCTGTTTTCACCCCGTTTATGTCACGTCGTGGACAAGTCTATATTAAACTCAACACTGGTCTCCTTGGACTCAATGATGACGTGAAATTGATAAGGGGCCCCGGAAATCGCTTTGACTGTGTCCTGACAGAGGTAGAAGCATCGAACCGAGAAAAACTTCAGGTGGCAGACCCCGGACGGTACTCGCAAACTGGAACGAACGACGATCACGGTGATTGCCGATCAGTTCCGAACTCTCCCGATCGCCGTGGGCCGATTGGATGGTACCTAAGAGTAAAGAGATGCAAGAAAAAGTACGAAATATTCTACAAAATGAACGGAAATAACTATATACCTTGAATCTAATTGAGAATGACAGTAACGGCTACTTCGAACTGTGTTTATATCGGTTTAACATAGGGATGATCGCTATCAAAGAAAGATGGCCGCCCCTAACGTCTTGAGCGTCACCTACGCAGCGAACCATCCATCCCTGTTTTAATAGTTCCATTGTTTATACCAGAACTAAAAGTATACTTTGGAGATGACCATTTATTAAATGATTACTATCTGCGGATTGCAACAAGTGGTTGCAGACGACGCTGATTAACATCACGAAAGCGAAATTCCAAGATGGCGGCACGACGCTGTTCCCTCCGCCGCGCGCTTATACCCTACCATTGTTACTCCCTCCCGAACCTTTTTAATCTCAAGATGGTACCATCTCGTACTTGGTACCTCCGATGGGAGGGTAACTAAGAGTACTTTTCACTTTCTCCATTTGTCGGCGATCGAATTATCTCACGTTGGACGATCGAACCGGGAGAAAGTGGGTGCGATGTATCGCGATTACTCTAGTTCAAACCACGGCTCTACCGGTTACGCGGTTCCCTGACCACGGGTGCCGAGTTTCCGTATTCGGATTTCTCCGCCGCGTAAACGTACTTCTGGGTGTCCATCAGTTGTACGCAAAAGTTGCACAACAGAAAGCGTGATTAATCACTCGCCGTGATTTTTCGCAAGGGACGTGCCGCGTCGGGTGCTACTTGTCCTTTACGCGATTTTTCCTCGCATACTGGAACCGTGACGTCACTTTATGTAGCTAAAAAAATCACGAAGATTAAAAGAGACTGCCCGTTGAATATTTCCATTTGAACTCGCCGACAAAGGTAACCTCTCTGCAAAAAAATTCACGAAAGTAAAAAAAAAAACTGGAGAAATTTACGTAATTTTCACTTCATGGTTTCTTCGCGTGCGTGGATTTTATGAATATCTTCAACCCAGCGCGTCGATTTAACTACGAAAAAGATCAAATGAAGAGTTGTTTCATTTCTTTCTTTTTACATGAAACGGCGCAGTGAAGTGTGACGATAATTTGTCCAAGATTAAAAGAGCGAGAGGAAAGGTCGCCCCTGTATAAGCTCTCTTCCCTTTTTGTTGGTTTTATGAGAACGGCAATGGAATGGCTAAATTTGCGGGCTCGTCGTATCTTATCTCCATGGTTCGAGGACTCCCAAAAGAATGTCCCTTCGTCAGACATGGGAGGAAAAGAGAAAAACGATCGGAGGAGGAACTACGGTGTGAACACCTTATCCCTCGTGGCCGCGTAACGTTACGGCCTCCCGCGCTGCCGTCGCCGTTCTCTTTCACCAACCTCGTGGTCCGTTAGTGCCGGGGGTAGACCAGGGTCAAAGAAACGGGGGTGGGCACTTCGTTCCTCCTCTCGTTACGTTGAATTTCTTCCGATAGCAGTCGCCGATCGGACGTACCCGCGGTACGGGCACGCGATCCTCGGTCCTCGACCTTCCAAGTGTGCAACGTTTCGTTTTTTTTTTTCTGTTATCGCACCCCAAACTGATTTGAGGTTTATTTTTAAGCCGATTTTGAGATTTCGTACACTGAAAGAAAATTCATTGAACCAAAGAGATATATTTTTAATTCAAAGAATAATTACGCGTTGCGTCCAATTAATTGAATTTTATTTCAGTTAAATAATCATTCTTTGAATGAACAAAATATTTCTCTGGTTCAATGAATATTTTTTTCAGTGTATTTCGCGAGTAGAACCTCCCGAGTAGAACCTCGCGAGTAGAACCTCCATCCAGGTCGAAGAAATTTTGTTTATTTCTGTGATCGCACCACAAATTGATTTGAGGTTTATTTTTTAAGCCAATTTTGGGGGTTTTTTACGGAAAACTTCTATGAAACAGGAAAAGAGTAATCTAAAATTGACCTCAAAACCCTCAAAACTGGCTTAACCCTTTGGCTGCAAAAGGCGTACATTCAACATTTGGTCCATTATTGCGTGCACGCGGTGGCAAATTTCGCCTATACGTCAAAAGGGCTTAACAGTCAAAAGGTTAACAATAAACCCCAAAAGGCTTGAGCTCCGACCACGAGGAGCCAAAATATTAACTAAATTTATGAAATAATAATAACATATGTTAATGCGGAATCGAGATTATGTTGATATCGTATTTCAATGAAGGAAATTAACGTTTGGACTCGTGATGACTTTAAGGATATTTTCTGAAGAGGGAATGCCTCTTCAGGGTGAAAGTGAAAGAAGACATTTTCGGAATTGATTGCCTGCCCAGAGGGATCTGTAAGAAGAGTGTTCTCCTTTTGTGAAATATTTATTTAACGAGGGAGGAGTAACTCGCGAGACGGTTGCGCACGGTTGCACGGGTGCATCGACCCACCAGAAGAAAAGCGAAAGGCTTTTGCCGCAGGCAACATTTTTAGTTAAATCCCTTCGTGGAATTGTTGTAAATATCGTTGACGGTTTTTTGAGCTGTGTAAAGCCACGCCTTAACGGTACGACAACGATCCACATAATCAACAGTTAAAATTGCAGACAATTTAAGGATCTTAGACCATTCTCAAATATCTCGCATAACAAAAACTATAAGCGTAATGATATTTAAGGACTGGTAAATCGAATTGTCGAAAATCGACACCATATTATATTTTTTGCGATTTAATTGACCGGTTGTTATGTCCGCCGTTGCGCTAACTACGAGGTAAAAAATTGAAAAATCGCCTATTAACACGTTCAGTGCCGAAACAAATGACGAGTACGCTGTCGTGAATAGACCGTGGGGCGTATAGGCCCCACGCGACAGGGAACGTGTTAAAAATAAATGTAATTCCACGGGTGTCAAGACCTTCCTTGAGGTCTCTGTGTTCACGTGATAAAATTTTAAACGATTTCATTCACTTTGTTTAGATATAAGTTTCATAAACACGTGATCCCTTAGACGCCACTTTCACGTCGCCTTAATTATCGGTTGATCGCTCATTCTGTTATAATGCATTAATTTTTTATTTACATTTTTTCCAGCCTCGAAGAGCTAATCCTGGATCGAAATGAACTCACGGACCTTCCTGACGAGATAACCGAGCTGACGAATCTGTTCGGCGTTTCCCTTGTGGGGAATTCTTACGGATCACCGCCGTCCTTCTTGGATATGCGTGCTCTTCCTCTGACGGTAAGTCAGATCGCCATTGTTCAAATGATGACTTCTTCGAACAATGTGCTTTAAAAGAAAAATATGTGCACACCAACTCTAATGGATACTTTTAGTAAGGGGACAAAAATGTCCGCCTTAATCATCGTCGCACGCTTCCTTTGAACCCGATTTTTATTTCTGCTGAAATTTCGAAACTGGAACCGCCCATCGAAAGACTCGAGGCTTACGAAACGTTCGCTCACCGTTACTTAGTTACTTCGTAGTTCGTTCCGCTCACCGAATCACGACTTATCCGACCGTTTTCACTTTTCAGGAGGTTCTCTCAAGAGGAGGGTCCGTTAAATCGTACAAAGACGACAAGGATGATCGAGCCAAATTGCACGAGGTCAACCTCAGGAACAACCGGCTAAAAGGGAACATAATTTTGGGGAATTACGGCGTAAGCTTCCCAACGCAATGAAACGACCTAACAAAAGGCTAAATTTAGGAAGAAAAATTGTCTATATTTCATAATTTACGTTTCTCCATGGCAGAACCTCACGCAGCTGGATGTCAGCGAGAACAGCATCGAGAAGCTGGATATCGGCGCTCTTCAGGAACTACGAATCGTACGCTGTGCTCGAAACGCACTTACGGAATTAAGAGTCTGCGGTAGGAACCTGGTATCACTAATCGCTGGTAATAATAGTAAGTGCATTTTTCAATCGGGCTTACTTCGAAGAAGGCAGCCAGACCTGATTGCTTTGTTCCACTTCCACAGAACTGAAGAAGCTGATCATCGAGCCAGTCCCCACGAATCTGGAACATCTCGACGTCTCTTAGTAAGTGAATCCACAAATAACAGAATTTTAAATTCGATTTTCCAAATTCGGTACAGTTGTCCGTTGTTTCTTCCTTAATCTTCTTAAGTCTTGATTAGAGTTACCCGTAATCGCCTTTTCAGCAACGAGCTGGATGCATTGCCAGAGTGGATTCCGGAACTTCCAGTTCTGCGAGCCCTTTTTGCGTCCCACAATAGCTTAACGGTGCTACCGGACAAGCTGCTATCTCAGCTGACAAGGTTGGAGGTTCTTCATCTACCCCACAACAGGCTTCAAGCCCTGCCACCACCTGGCAGGACCTTAAACATCGTTCACCTGACCCTGCAAGGGAACGCCCTAACGGCGTTGCCAGCCAATTTCTTCGCCAACACCAAAACGTAAACCCTCTATAATTTCACTTACTTAAAAAATTGTCTTGTTGCTTCCTAGTAAATTAAACTTCAAACTAAAGGAGAACAATTGGAATTGGCGCTGCGTGTGGAAACGTTAATACATGTCCTTTTCGATAGAGGACAAAGGTGGATTACCATAATCGTGGCCGATTCATGATTGTTCACCGTTCTTTCAGGCTGAAGATCTTGAACCTATCAAAGAATCGTCTCTCCGAACTCATATATCCCGAGGAAGATAAAAATCCTCGATTCTGTAGTGCCCTGGAGAAGCTCTACCTCACTGGAAATTGTCTCACGGATGCTGCACTGGATGCACTCTCTAAATTTACCGCTTTGAGGGTTCTTCACGTCGCCTACAACACGTTGGATACTCTTCCTGAAAGGTATTACAGATAAATCTTCAGGTATTCGAATAGACACACCTCATCCGTCGATGGGTATAATTTCTAAAATACAATTAGAAGAGATAAAACCTTCATTGTACATACACGTGGATTCAAGTTATTGGAGTGAATTAAGATTCGAAAAACGTGGATGTCAATCTCATCAGGTGATATTGTACCAGAGGCCATCCAGCATCGTAATCGATCGTTGACGTGGCTGGCTCTCTAATCGATCGATTGATCATCGATCCGCGTCTCGCGTCGTTAAACGAAAATGCCCATAGCGCAGAAGGGAAGGATAAAGATGAAACTGAAACAATGCACAATCACCGCAAATGTAAAATTAAATACAGCGTACAGAGCGCGGTGAATAAATGCATGCAAAGTGAAACCGGTATAGCAATGCATTGCATTATGCACTCTTTTTTCAATTTCAGTTGCGTCGCAGCGTGGAGTGACCTGGAAGAGCTGGTCTTATCTGGGAACCGACTTCAGTACCTGCCGGATAACATTGCCAATTTGCCCCATTTGCGGGTTCTTCGAGTACACTCCAATCGACTGTTGTCCTGTCCAGCCTTCGACAAATCTTTGAATCTCAGGGTGCGTTATCGAGAGGGACATGTCATGTACCTATACACGCAGAAAAATATTTAGTTGAACCAATAAAATGTTTGTTGGTTCAACCAAATATTTGGTTATTATCGTTTTAATCTCACTGCATATTCTTAGAGGATAATGTTCCTTTTATAAAAGTGAACTAAAATTCAGTTCGCTCAAGCGAAACGTTTTCTGAAATTAGCCAAATGCAGCCGATCAAACGATTATGTTAAATCAACCAAATTATTTTTCTGCGGGTAGAAGACCTGATATTTAATCGATTTCACTCATTTCAGGTTCTCGACGTGGCGCATAATCGGCTGGACCGAATAAATCTAGCAACTTTGGTGCCGCCGCAGTTGCAATTCCTCGATATATCCTGCAATTCCCGATTGCACGTCGACCCCCGTCAGTTCCAAGCATACAGATCTCACAGGCCCGTTTCCCTGGTGGACGTGTCGGGGCAAAATAGAGTAAACTTACCCTCTCGACCTGAGAATGGAGAAAGCAAGGATCCCCAGGACAAGGACGACCGAGAAGCCACCTCCGATGGCGGCTCGGATCGACCCTGGAGAGTCGGCTTCTCCGAGACTGCAGGAACCCGAGAGAGGTCTAAATATTAATATTTATATTCATATCACGGAGGAAAAGGAGTTCATTCAACCACAGAAATATTACATCCCATTTATTCAAGTTTATTATTAACAAATCATTTTCCCATTAGACTTTACGTCACGCAGCTCCGAATGCCGTCATTCTGCAACACGGAGGGCCTGTTCGGGCTGTTCGACGGGGGAAGCAACCAGACAGCTCCAGGTATCCTCCAGGAGGCCGTGCCGCGACTTCTTCTGGAAGAAAGGACTATTAGGGAGACCTCTAAGGACTACCTGAAGTACACCTTACTATCAGCACACAGGGAGCTGAAGGAAGACGGGCAAAAATACGGAGTGGACGCCACATTGGTCCACTTGACTTGCCAGCCTTCCTCTCGAGGTCATCCTCGATCCTTGAAAAAATACACCCTGAGGGTGGCATCCTCAGGAGACGCCAACGCAATTTTGTGCAGAGCCGCTGGTCCCTTGACCCTAGCCTGGCGAGGAGCTAGAAAGTTGCGAGAGCGTCGTCGTCGACGACGACAGCGACCTGTACCGACGTCGACGTCGACCTCGGCGTCAACCTCGCCATCGTCGCCGCAGCATCGATTGGGACATTCGGCGATGTTCCCACTGGTGGTGCCCGATCCCGTGGCCGAAGAGGTTCCTCTGGAAGACGACGACGAGTTCATCATCCTGGCGAATCGATGGCTCTGGGAGGTCCTGGGCGTCGAGGAGGCCGTTAGAGAAGCCAGGGCGGAAGCGAACCCGGTACTTGCAGCAAAGAGGCTGCAGGACCTGGCACAGGCCTATGGGGCTGAAGAGAACCTCAGCGTCCTCGTCGTGCGACTTGGGACGGGCGGAAGCACCGCCCTGGGGGGTGTCCCCGGTCGCCTGGGTGCACAGGGATGTCGTTGCCCCTGCTGCAGGGCACCGGCACCTCACGAAACCCCTGCGCCCTGCTGCTGCCACGGCACTGACCCTCGGTACACGAATGGAGTCCTCAAGAGTCTCATCGACAGGTAAAAGTCACCTGTTTCGACCTGGACAATTCCGGTCCCTAGACGACTAAATTTTGCTCACGGGAAATGATGTTTCAGATGATATAATACCTAGAACTTTTTTATTAACATCAATTACTCAACTCCTTTGTATCACCTTAATATCCCGTGTCTTCAGGTCGCTGAACGAGAAAACTCGTAACCTCCCCGCCAGAGAGTCGAAGGACGAGTCAGCGTGCGATGGCTCAGTGTGCGCGGATGAGCGCGGTTCTCCCAGCGGCCAGTCCGGACAGTCTGGCCAATCCGGCCAATCGGGGATCTCCAGCCAGTCCGGCCAATCGGAGTCCAGGATGCGGGCACATGCGCGGCCCCGCATCGTCGACGGCTCTTCGGCGTCGTCGCGCGTGTGGACCGGCAGTGCGGCCTCGCGCGCAGCAGCGAAAGCGCAGGTGGATCTCTCGGTGGAGAAGGAGGACGCCTTCGAGAGGTCAGCGAACCTCAGCGAGGAGCAACTGCGCTGCTGGGAATATATGCTCGAGCAGAACACCCAGCTGCTCTTCGATAAGGAGCTGGACACCCTGACGACGTCGCCCCTGCACAGGGGACAGTCGAGGTCGACGCCGCAGCTCGCCGTGAACCTCCCTTTCCTTTCCAAACGATTTGGCAGCGCAAGGGCCTTCGAACAGCGAGGAGGCCCCAGGGTGCCAACGGGACCACCTCCATCTGCGAGCCGCCTTAACGCTGCGACGAGAAGACCTCCCCATGGGGGTCCGAATGCCGCGTATTTCGGAAGCCTGCAAAGGCTCATGCCCTACAACCTGGAGTACGACTTCGCCGTCATCCGAGAAAGGGGCAGTGGCCTTGACTCCTTGGAGCAGGATGCGTCGAGGATGCAGCAGTACTGGGGTGTCGCCACCACGGAACTGTGATCGCGCATTTGTCGTTGAAATTAGGTTTTAAGGCGATATGAAACTGGCGTCCGAGGGGTCAATCGTTCGACACTTTTCTCATAACTAGATGTGCCGAATTGTTTGAAAGTTTTCCACGTGGATGTAGAGGTCCTAAGGAAGGTCCCTACTCCCATGAAATTTAATATTTATTATTGTTTATAACAGGTTTTTAATTTTTTGTAACCAAGTGAGATTTTATAGGTGTCGGGACCTCTCTTATGGTTTCTACATTCACGTGGTAAAATTTCAAACGATTCGGTACACCCAGGTTACAGACAAGTTTCATAAACGATTAATCCGAGGGATGTAATTGCTGAGTGCAACGAAACGCTCTGATTGGCTTTCAATTTTACTCTGAAAACTATGAGCAGCTGTTGTAAACACGACTAATTTCAATTTTAACCGGATTCTTGGGAGGTGCAGAATATCTATTTTATTGCTACATCTACTACCTTTCACGGAATGCGGTACTTGAGTCAAACGATGCCGGTGTATCAATTTTTTTACCTTGAGATACAGCAAGAAACATATTTTATTGAGGAGTGGGCACATTGTAGCTGCAATAAGAGAAGAGAAATTCCTGGTATTGGTTTTTTACGAGCCTTATACCTTTCTCTCCGCAAAACCGAGTCTCTGTAGTCCATTCTACAATTCCAGGTGCATGAATCACCTGGAGAGAACGACAAATTGCGAACGCAAAGCGTTCGTTTTCTGAAATCGAATACTCCAACACATCGAATTTTTCATACCGTTACTACTTAAGGCGATGTCAAAGTGACATCTCATTTATGAAACTTTTCTCCGAGATGGTTGTACCGAATCGTTCCAAACTTTACACTATGAAAATGGAGGCTATTGAAAAGGTCTTAACATCCATGAAATTAAAATTATTTTTTCTAATTTGCTTATAGATTTTTTTACATTTTTTATAAACAATGAAATGTCATGAATGGCAAAACCTTCCTTAGAGCCACTATATCCGGGGTATAAAATTTGAAACGATTCGATACACCCAGTTTGGAGAAAAGTTTCATGAACGATTGACTCCTCAGATGCCACTTTCATAACCCCTTAAATCCCTGGTAATGCCACACAACTGTACATTTTGAGAGAAGAGTATTATTTTAACATTACTCGTGGCATTAACAGTGATAGTAGTAATTGCGTTACCGAGGTCAACGTACAAATAGCGAACAATAACTGAAGACTGCATAGACGATTACGATATAGTGACAATGAAATCTAACGATCGGCGCCGTGGTGCTGATATCTTGTAAAAAAAGATGTTTTATAATTGGACATAAATTGTGAATAATAAAACGCGTTCGAAAATTAACCCAAAGTCCCTCATAAATTAGGAAGAGAATTCTGATTTCCGTCACGGTGCAGTCATCGTGCAGCTGCTCGAAACAAAGAATATTATAAATAACTAAAATCATGACAAATTCATCCGTTTTGCGAAATAGAATATGCGACAATCTTAAAACAGAGTTGACGCAAAATTGTAGATACAATATGCCTATATTTTTTATTTTGCACGACTGCATTTCCTATCGTAACCGCAATGTCATTTTTTTTTTCACGAAGGATGTAAACATTGTGTTTGCGACCATATCGGCTAGTCAATAATTAATGCCGTGCGGTAGTTTCCTAATTATCTTTCGAGTTCGATTCGACCTGGTTGGCCAATCGTGTTTACACGATCGGTGACGAGTTTCTTTACTATCTCTGTTTGTATTGCGGGAAACAAGTCGCGTTCCACAGTCTGCGAAATGTCTTAAGATAAGCCTTCAAGTACATACATCTCGGAGTCATCAATAGATTATCGCCTCAGATCAACTGATCAACGTTTCATGTTGTTTATGCAAAAACACTCGTGCTAGATCCGCAATCATATATCGCCTGATGCTGAAATCAAGCTTCTCTAATTAGGATCCTTAATTTTAACGAATTCGTAAAAATTCCAATTTAACAGCGTGTCGTGCACTTTTACCTCCGTGATTAAATATCTGCCACGTGATCTAATCATTACCGCCGTTTCTAAAGGAATAATTATTACTATTTGGAATAACCGGTAATTAAAACGTTTCGCTTACTTGTGAACGCAGAAGAGCCGGTAAAAACGGTCATCAACTCTATTTGTACTTCTTTTTTAAGTGAAATTTCTTACGTCACTGTATTACTTATAAATTCGCATGTTACGAAAGAGACCCATTTCGAAAAGTGAAACTCTTCTATTTTACAATTAATTACAATCTATATTCATCTTCGCGTTTTAATACGAACACAATTTGCGTAAACATTCTCGTTAGTGATAGTGCACAATTCTCTCATTTAAGATGAAATATGAATTATGCAAATAGGAAGTAAAAAGAATTATACCGAAAACACCCAGTACTGGTAATTGGCGAAAGAATAATTAATAGTAATTAATAATATCCGATTCTCATCAAGTTTCACTTCCAACTCAGGTGACGCAGCGATTTTTGTTTTTCTAAGAACTGTTGACTACTCCACCTACAAAATCCAAACAATATGTGCAGGAATTTGGGAGATTCTCAAAAGTCGTAAAAGGTTACAATGTTTACGAAGAGATATGCGACAAGGCCATTACTCTGAATTTCGAGAGTAATACGACTGATTCCTAGCTTCTGCTTTCGCGGTCGGCGACGACCTTCACTCGGGTTTCCTAAAGCACGCTATCACCGGTGTTATTTTTATATTCACCGAGCTCGCCAGTAACAGTCGGTCGCTCCGCGCACACGTTGCGCTTTCCGACATCGCGAACTAATTTTCTAACTAAAACAATTCTCCGAGATTGCATAATTACAAAGATATCGCGACCGCTGTGGAAATTCCGGACTTAATTCTCTGAATAAAAAAAAAAATCGTCTCAAGCGTTGTTTCTCCAAAACAAATAATTCCATCGTCAAATAAAAACACATTACCTCGTGGTCCTTAAAATTAAAATTATCTAGAATGCTCAGCGCACGCGGACATTTTTACACGTTAACGCTGCACTTTGCCGCGTGTTTTTTACATGTTAATTGGACCAAGTCGAGACAAGGGGGAGGGACTTCATCTCCCTTTTTATTATTACTCCGATGTGTCACTGTTATTGCGTGGAACACGTGTCAGTGGTCCAGTGCGCCTTCGGTTCCGCATCGTGTAAAGTGATCTTTCCGAGAGCGCGCAAGCACATCCGCTCTCGCTCGCCATTGGACGGCGACTGATGGCGCTACGAGAGTGCGCGGAGCAGCGCGGGGCGCAAGTCGGGACTGCGCGTGCGCGGGAACGCTCGCGCGTATTTCTCCCTCAATCTGGCAGCGCGACTGAAATTTTAGTCTGTTGGCGGGCGTCGATCGCACAGGTGCGTTTTGTTCTGCTCCATCAGAAGACGAAACCGCCGCGGTTCCTTTTACGCCCGTCCCGAATTGACGGTCCATCCTTAAGCAGACACTGACCAACACGTGGCACAAGCCGAAGGGTGAGAACTCAAAATAATTTCCACATCTCGTTACAATCTGTAACTGCATAAATTTCTCTTCTTACATCCGAGAGATCTGAAGGCTTGAAAATGGTTTAAAACATTCGAGCGTTGCGTAGTATCCGTCAAAGTACTTGATGATCAAAAGAAGATATATTCGTAAACTTAAGTAACGAGATTTAAATTAAAAGTATTACGACACTTTAATCGTATAATTAATACAGAAATTCAACTTGATCGTGTAAAAATATCCGAATTACTTGAATAATTTTAGGAGATGCTTAATGAAAAAATCGTTTGATTAGAGGCGACCGGTTTTATGAAAAATTGTCGAAAGTTAAATTGAACTCCTTTGTTAAATACTTCCTCGAAGATTTTCGGACGGATAAAAGTGACAGTATTATTTGGGCTGGTCAACGAGACAAGTGATGTAATATTTCCTCAGCGTGATTTCTCCATCCGTGCAAATATTAATCCGGGTGTTCCTGGCAGAGGGGGAATCATCGTACCCCCGTATCTTCCATGGAATCATCCCAAGGGAGCTCCCCTGATGACTCGGTCAATTAGAACATTTAATTCCTAAATGGCCTTTTTCCTGTCGTTCGATCGTTTCCGATTTAAGCCCACCTGGAATATTTTCCCCTCAGTTGCACGTCGTTCCTCGTGGATATTAATCTTCGCGTCATTTAACAATTGACATTTATCTTATGAAACGAAGTACCTACCCCGTGACGATTACAACGATGATGACAATGATAATGGCAATGATAATAGTCCCACGCGCATTTACCCTCTTTTTTATTTTTGTTAAGAAAGCCTGACATCTTTCGATTAGTCACGCATTATTAAAAATTAAACATTCACGCACTTCCGGTACACAAGATTGTAGTAGCAAATTATAAATTTGATGTCTTATAAAATTACAATATTTCTTTAACTCTCTTTTATTGCTTGGGTTTAATCGTAATTCAATAATGAAGCACGTCATTATTTCTTCGACTCATGGACTGACTTGTACCGACTTGAACTAGCCCATGCTCGCAGAACGAGAAGAGATATTGAAGAAGTGTTAAAGAAGTTTAAAGAAAAACAGTGGTCCTCCTATTGATAAGCCATTTGTACGGGTGAACGCAAAAATATAATATTTTCACCCTGAAGAAAAAGTGAAAAGTACACGAAAAGATCTGTACTCGACAATGAGGCGAAAATAAAAGAATACGGACAAACAACACGATTCGTGCAGATTCGTGCATGTTGGGGCAAATGTTTCGGAAGCCGAAGGAAAAACGTCCGAACATTACGTAAACATGCATATGCATACATGCTAAGTCCAGGAAATTGCCAGGAGGATTGGCAATTTTTTAACAGAGGCAATTCCCTCGAATCGATTTCCAAAAATCTCGAAAAGAAAAGTAATATCCCGCAGGAAAGCCGTATTAAATATATTCAAGCGCAGAGAACCGGAGATGCGTTTCCGATTGCGGGGAAACGCTGACGTCGAGATAAACGACGTGATGGGTTAAACGTCCCGACGCAGTCGAGTTCGGCTATGAATCTGCGAAACCGAGTCTATGTACATATTTTACGTATATATATGCTCAGGGTGTTACAAAAATGAACCCAATGTACTCTACGTTATCCTTGTTGAAAATGTAGTCGGAAAGTCCTGTACTATTTTTTATTTTGTACACCGCACTGTTTATTTGTAATAATTAATTAAAATGTGGCCAACCAGACGCGTCGATTAGATGAACGCGTATGAGTTGCACTCTGCTATCTGCGATATAGAGACAACTTACAGCGACCTCCTCGACTCGCGTTCCGCAAATCGACGCGCCGAGTTGGCTATTTTTCAAATAATTATTACAGGTAAACAATGCGCTGTAGAAAAGAAAAGTATATTGCTTTTCGAATACATCTTCAACAAGGATAGCGCCGTTTAAACCGTGTGCATAATTTTTGCAAATGTACAATGTATTGTCTTTATGTATATACGCATACGTGTACATGGCGATGCGCGTGCACTATATTCACAAGTGTGACGAAAAGTGAGCCGCGGTCGAAAATATTTTGGCAAGTCACGTGGTTTTTTGCGTAATACGAATGGATGATCTTGACCCGTAGTAGCGGGTGAAAGCCGCATCGACCGCTAGGTTGCGCTGTTCCCCGGAACGCTGCGAAGTTCAAGGTCACTGCAATTTGCCCAGGGAAGGGGGGGATTCCGTTCCTAGATATAATAGTTGTACCTGAGTAATCGAGTGCAATTTTATGTGTATTGCGTTGTGGAATCTAGTGGGAGTAAAATCAATGAAAATGAAAACGTACAAGACGCAATTTTAATTATTGATCCGACATTGTCAAACTCCGTTCCTAGATAACAGTTGTGCTCGAGTAATCGTGTGCAATATTACGTGTATTGCGTTGTGGAACCTGGTGGGAGTAGAATCAATAAAAATGAAAGAACGTGTAACACGCAATTTTGATTATTGATCCATTTTCGAACTCACGCTTGCCGTGGTTTTTTTATTGGGCGATTGCGCTGGTCGAACGCAGACGCGGAGATTGAAACACGTGTAATGCAATTGGACAAGTCACGTTGGCAGTGAATGCGCGATTAGCTCATTTTCTTACTTTTTATTCGTACTAATGCGTTTCAATGCCACTTTCCTATTTAAGCCTTGCACTTTCAGTGGCGGTGAATTTATAACCTTGCAGATACATATATCATGCATCTGCAGAATGCACTATATTGGAAACGTAATTTACGGATCTTCTACGACTTTCTACAATTTTCTATAGTAAACTACTTGGTTTACGTTATATACGTCAACCAAGTCAATAAACCTCGAAAAACACGAAATTATCCAACCATGAATTCAAGATCCTCGCGGTTTTCGGTAATGGCGCCTTTAGAAGCCATTGTCGGAAATATTGATAAACGTGTCTACGCACGCTCGACTCCCCACCGCTCGAGTCGAACCTCTATATAAGTCCATGGTCCGTGATCCATGCAGCAAGATACTTTTGGCAAGTCGAAGTTGGTAATCTTGCTAGGCGTTGTCATCGAATTCGTGGTATTCATCGAGTTGGATGTAGTTGGTCGCGACCTCTGAGGATAGAGGCTGCGCATTAGCTTCCGCGGTTGAAACACGGGAGTAGTCGGCCATATTGGTATGTGAATGCCAAACACAGCGTCAAAGTCCATTTTTGTGACAAATTGAACATCTTCAATTTTGTGCCCATGAAATAATTCGAAGATGTATTCTGCGTGGAATTTTGATCTTAGTCTTTCTTTTTCATTTTGGTCTGAATATAAAAAGTAGAAAAACCTATTCAAATCTCGCGCCACGTTTGGATATGGTTTACGACTACTCCCCCCCCCGTCCCGTTGCTTCACCCTCCCTTGTCTAAACTACCACCTTATGCCAGGTTCTCTATATTCAGAGGTCCATGGTCGCGACGAAGTGAACTCGCGGTGGTAAAAAGATCGGCGTTACGGCCGCGGGGCCGAAAGGTTTGGCCAAACCGGCGAACTGTGAGGACGACGCCGGACGCGAGTGGCCGCGAGCACGGGTTGCACCGCCATCGGAACGGTTAGAGAGCGACAACTACGTCATCCATCTTCATACTTTTCTGCCTGCCTTTTGAGGTTCCGCATTTCATCTCAGTTATGACAAGTGCCGAAGAGTCGAGGGGCCCGCTTGGTTCGCGTCCTAAATAGCTACCGTCACTCCGAGCGTGCGAAATCTCGAGTGAGTTTCCCCATTCCGTAGGACTAGCACGGCGTCGCGTGCTCTGCAGCCAGACGCCCATACCTGTGATAAAACCACGATCAAACAACTTTGTCAATATTCTTTTCAAATTTTTAAATCCCCTTGGACATTTCGAGGCCGTGCGGCTAGCTGTGAAACTGTATCACGATGCAGCTACATCGTTAAATGAAAGTTAATGCTTGTTAAATTATGTGTTCGATTACTATGTATACTTTTTATCGTTATTAGGATACGTCATTTTATTAAATGTATTTCTTAATTGTGTAAGACTTCCTTTATTTATCAGAGCTTTTTGTCCAAGGTGCTAGTGTCAATGGTTAAGCTTTTAGTAACATACGTAACGGAGAAAGTTCTTTAATCGTGGATAAAAGCTTTTACAGTTTGTGACAGAGGAGAACGTATCTCATTTTGATCAAGTATTTTGCAATGTAATCTGGACTCTAAGCTAAGAAAGCTTTTCTGATGGGGCTTTGGTGCCTTGAGAAAGCATGCGAATCTTTTAATGGTGTAATGGTGACAGACTTAACGGTCCACTTACGAGTGACCTTGAATGATTATGGGAACTTTATTATAGTATAGTATTATGACCGTCTTGTCTTAGCTAGAAAGGAAATTGATATGTCTCTTAGTAGCTAGAGCTAATGTGGCAATGGAAAGGTTCATAATTATTGACTCTTGTAGAAGTGGACAGGTAGACAATAAGAATTAGATAAAGATCCCATGTGAATCAAGACATTCAAATATTAAAATAGTCTGATTAAAATTATGCTATAAAAAAGATGCCTAATTCTTGCACATTTAATCATTGTTTGAATCGAATACTGCAGTGGATATGAAGTTAATGTACTTTGAACTTTAAAGAAAAGGAAGTCAGAGAGAGGGTAACTAGTAGGATATATCTTGCCTCTTAAAATTTACTAACTTTTCCACAGAATGGCAGCGTCTTTCTTAAGTTTGGTCAAGCATTCATGTAAGATTGTAAATCTTCTGTCTACAACAAATTCCTCATTACAGAATTTTAGCTGATGTGGAAAAAATAAGAAAAAAACAAAGAAAACTGAAGATAGAATCTATAGTAAAATGCAGCGGATGTGGTTTATAGAGAGTGAAGCTGATCGTCGGTCAAGGGAACCAAGCAAGCTGGAGAAAGGTACCACCACAGAAGTCGTGCAGGGACATATGTACGACATGAGGGGGACTAAACGAGACTGGATGTTCAGGGTTCAGGTATGATGAACTATGTTGTATACTTTATGTAAAAAAATTTCACTCTCATGTATACCTTTCTTGACTGAACAGACGCCCCCATTGGAGAAGAACGAATGTGTGTACGTGGTTGGTAACGTACCTGAAATAGGTGGTTGGAATCATAATCAGGCTTTACAATTAACACGAGAACGTAGTGCATCGGATTTGTGTGTACTCTTTGACGGCAATGGTAGCGGAGAATTCTCCAGTGACGATGGTCAGGACTTCGCAGCTTATAATTCCTATCAAGATTTAGATGAGTAAGTTTTAGTATTAGTTTTACAAGACGTTGCATGTACTACGAACGAATTTTGACACTTCATTGATGGGCATTATTACACAATTACTTCAACTTGCTATGGAAAAAACCGATCATATGCACGAGTCAATGAAAAAGTGATTCATCTCGTCTATTGCACAATGTACACATAACAAAGTTCTACGTGCATCGGCGAAGTGATTATGCTCTAAGACGCCACTAGGGCAACTCGAAGTCATAAAATATTTGCAGAAGTATCTTTTTAACTTAACTGGTAATGATGGCAAATTCCATGTCATATATCAACATGAGAAGTTAAATAATCTTATTTTCTCGTCCAGGCATGACATGAGTATGGCTGAAACTTTTGGAAACCGTTTACCGAAAAAATAGCATTACTTTCAAGAGGAGTACCGAAAGTAAAATCGTCGCCTAATCGAAGTATCCCCATTTCAGAGATGGACCCACCTTCTCGTCTAAGGTGGCCCTTCCCAGCGACGTAGATGTAGAATTTCGGTTTTTCGTCGCTGTGATCTGTCAATCGAATGGAACTAAAAATTCAGCAAAAACTCTAATCATACGTAAATGGGAAACTCACATGACGCCACGCCTCATCAAGAAGAATAGTAAGTTGCAAATGTGTAACCAAATATAATCGAATTTTTGGATAAGAAAAAGAAGTGAAATAACCCTTCGTTGACTTTACAGCTCCAAGTAACGTTCCAGACAATATCGTGCCTGATCCAGATAAATTCGGTTACCACAACGGTTACACCAAAGTCGAGAGAGGCTGGCTAACCGACGAAACCGTCATTCAGTTCAAGTTGTTTGACGGTGCCATTAAGTTGTGGAAGAACAGGTTGCAAAACAAGAAGGTTTTTATAAAGGTACATTCTCTTGTTGCCACTTCGTGACTTGATGAAGGTGTCTCTAACCGAGTTTGCTTCCATAGATGACTGCGGTCAATTTGGTCAGACACAATTCGTTAGATCTGCAACAATTTGGGGGCGACTGTGTGGACGATAGCCTCTCGATGGACACCCAAGACATAGCGGATCAACCAGCATTTAGTATCACAGAAGTGGCCGTGAGTTGAAGCCATCCACGCTACCCTACAAATTGAATACTCTGTTTTTCTCAATGCTACCCCATTTCTCGTCACAGGTCATGAACGACGAAGAATGTCACTTCAAGTATCAGGAGCAGTTCGGTCGATCCTACAACGAGGACGAGTTTCTGATCTTCAGCGCCGCTGTGCGGTATCCGGACATTATCGTAAGTAGCCGAGCGTTGACACACCGTCTCTGAGATTTACTTAGTGTCGCAACAAACAAGCCAGCGAACGACTGCGTTCCTACCTACCTCCAGCTCTCCTTGTCTGACTGTCGAAAGCCTAAAGGAGATATTTTGTGATAAAACGAGCGCATGTTATGTACTCGAGAATAGACAGCAGGAAATAACAGGTGGAGCCGGTCGTTCCTGGCCGAACGAAATACTTAAACTTGACCTAGGATCATGCATTGACCATATCATGTGAGTTTTCAGTAGACCACGAGTAGGCCGGCCACGTCTCTTCTCGCATTACCTATGATAACTTGGTAAAAGAGTATTAAACTTGTCCAGCAGCTATTGCCCCCCTTCCCCCGGTTGGATACGACGCCGATGTCTCGCGCGATCTGGGCCAGATGAGGAGACAGAGCCGCTCGGGCTCTGAGAAAGCAAGACCGGTGCAAATGATGATGCTAAACATGCAATCTGATGTACCGATGCTAAGCATCGTCCGCTACCACTTTACATCTGTGTCACATGACATCGCACGGAGATATGATGGTTTTGATTGTCGTTAGCCCTTCCGTTCCTGTCCTTCGGCCGAGCTCTCTCGTAAATCTCCCGGCTTGCCGGGGGTTTTACGCGAGCCGAGGTCATTCCGGGCGTTCCTTTGAAACTTTGCGATATCAACGCTGTCACATCTCATATCCATCTGTGTGCGTCGAAAATGGTGAGATTCCCATCACTCCTATAATCCTTTTTTATTATAGCGTATATTACGATTATTTTCTAGCTCTGACCAACTCTACCGAACTGTGTGGTGCGTGGCACCGTTGCGCGGCCAATGCCGGATTATACCAGTGTCGTACTTTGGAATGCGAATTCAGAGAGCGCACACGCGAATGCGAAAATTTCTCCCTTAATCTTGAATGATTGGCAGGTGCTGCGGGCATCGCGTCACCCGGCAGTGAATAGCATTTGGCAATTATCGGCCCGGTATTGTCGCTAGTAGCGCACTCACTTTCGTAGGAGATTTCTCAGTGTTCAATCTTACTTTTTTTCACCCGGATCCTTCCAGAGATATCTCGAGAGTCGTGATCGCTTTGAACGTTTGATAACCAGCATTGCTGCAATCGACGCCGTTGATGGCCGCGCGGGAGATGGTCGAAGAATGTTTTTACGTTGTCTAATTTAGGTCCTATCCTAACGACTATCTTGATGACTACCGAGGAGCAAGGAGGGAGGGAACGTCGATTCATGCTCGGGGAGAAGCCCGCCAACCACTCGTGTCCGCGTTCCTTGCTCGCCGGTCTCTTTTACGAGTTAAAGCGAGACGAGCTCGATAGCTAAGGCTGAGCTAAGAACGCACGGATGAGCAGGCATTGGTGTTGTGACGAACGCCCTGCAGGTTCCCGAGGGACTCACCTTCGCCTTTTTTCAGGCCTACCTAGTAGACTACTATGTCTACAGCTCGAGGTGCTACCCTGGCGAGCCGCCTAATCACATCGGCTTCAGCTACATTTTGCCCAGCACGCTGCAGGCCAGCGTCGGGCTCCTCACGATACCGATCACCAGCACCAAACATCGGCCCATAGGTAAGTACGCTCTGCGGTTTTCTACTTGGACCTTGACTCTATCCTCGAATCCTCTCTTCAGGACAACTCACCATCGAGTACGTCCGCATCACGCCGATTCCCGATTATCCGTGGGACATGAGCATCTCCTATGCCAAGCATTGGGAACAAAGGTGGTCGGGCTTGGACGTCGGCCATCGCGGACTTGGGACGTCCTTCAAGTTTGAGACGAAGAAGTGAGCCCTTTAATTCCTAAATCTGAAACTTTTATCGTGGTCGGAGCTCCTTCATGGTTTTTCCCCTTTTATCTACAGCTGTGCGAACGTCCGGGAGAACACCATAGCGTCCTTGAAAACGGCCTCGTATCACGGTGCCGACATGGTCGAATTTGACGTACAATTGTCCAAGGACATGGTCCCGGTTGTTTATCACGACTTCTACGTGTCGATATCGTTAAAGCGCAAGAAGCAAATAGAGGCTATGGATATGCTCGAGATCCCGGTGAAGGATCTCACGTTGGAGCAGCTGCATCTGCTCAAGGTAATTTCGGCTTGTCCGGGTGTCCCTTGTGCAAAGATATTGTACGGCAGTGTTGATGTGTGTTTGAACGTTTTTATTTATCTTTTATTTTATCTTTCCCCACTTAGGTTTACCATGTGGCCGAGGGCAGGGAGAAGAATCCAAGATTCTTCGACGAAGACCTCGAAGATCATCAACCATTCCCTACTTTACAGACCGTCTTACAGGAGTTGGAGCAGCACGTCGGTTGCAACATAGAAATAAAGTGGACGATGCAGTTAAAGGTCGGGGTTCTGTTCGCTTACGGTCGTATATTTAAAATGACGATAAAATGGTTAACAATCGTTGCATTCTTTCAGGACGGAACGTTCGAGCTAAACCACCCCTTCGACCTAAACATGTATCTGGATATCATCCTGAAGGTCGTGCTCGAATACGGCGGCGATAGGAAAATCGTATTCTCCTGTTTCAATCCAGACATTTGTGCAATGATCCGGCTGAAACAGAACAAGTATCCTGTAGTTTTCTTAACTCAAGGAGTAACCGCCAAGTATCCTACGTACCATGACCCAAGGTGCCAGACGATACCGATGGCCATGAGGCACGCCCTGGCAGCTGACATTCTAGGAATCAACGTACACACGGAAGACATTCTAAGGGATCCGTCCCAGGTGAAATTAGTCAAGGATGCTGGTCTCATCATCTTCTGCTGGGGCGACGACAATAACGACAAGGATACAATACAGCACTTAAAGAAGCTAGGCCTGCATGCAGTTATTTATGATAAGTTAGTTTCCATTCGTCTTGATGGTCGCCCAATGGCTAGGCGAATAGTAACTTTCTAGTCCTTTTAGCTTGCAGCTTTTTACATTACACTTTTCCATTTTAGAATCGATGAGTACAACGCGAAGGAGGTGAAGGAGAGCATCTTCCTAGTGGACGCCAGGGAGTCCCAGAAAACCTTGATAGCCTTAGCTCATTGTAACCAGACGTGCGGGGGACCTCAACCCAGCCAACCTCCGCAGCCTTCGGATTCCACCAAGGAGGACTACTTCCTGGACCTGGAGAAGACCAGGAATCTGATTGCTCAGACGTCCACTGCCACGTCATTGGCCTCGCTCGCGATGAACAGCGTCGGGGGAGACAGCTTGTACCCTCTACCGACGATAGTTTTGCCCGGTAGCTGCAACCTCCCACAGGACAAGGAAATCGGCGACCTGACCAAAGACTTCAGCACCTGCGCCAACTCCTTCGGACACTCGCCCAAGACGAAGAATATATCTGACCTGGTTCGCGGCCAGGGTGCGGCCTTCCCGGAAATCTACACGGAGGACGAGGCGGCGAAAGACTGTCTCTGATGCGCTTCCTATAGGCAATGTCTAACATCACGGATTTAGGGTCGTCGCAGGTTCCATCTTAGCCGGGCATTCTTGTCAAGGCGGGTTGATAGCGTCGATTGATCGCATCACTCGAAGCTATCGATCGGATCATGGATATTAATTATACACCCGATGAGTTCCTAAGAGCGTGGGGTACCGACTCAGAAGATGCGACGCTCGAAGCCGCCATTTCCCCGGGACATCGTGCGACGCGAACCGACTCTGGCAGAGGTTAACCCAAGAAATTCTTTTTTTTATCTTCTATTTGTCCGATCTACTCAATTCAAAGTCTCCTGGAAAATCGCCTGCTGCTGGCATGGTCGGTTCGCGTTGCTGGAGGAACGAGTTACCGACAAGCTAGATTTCTTTTTTAACGAGATACTCGGTAACGACGCTCGATCCGGCTGAAACTATTCCGTACGCTGGCTAAGCTCGGCCAGAAGCAGGAAACGCTCTTCTTTTCGGGTAGAATACGTCGCTTTGATTGGATTATTTATACTGGGTGTAACGCTCGTCGAGCGAGAGGCGCTTCGATGTTTTATTGCCCCGATGGAGGTGAGTTGGCCATATTGGATTCTGGTGTCGCAAAAAGTCGCACAAAATTCTTAATCGGTATTTCGCGAAGCAAGTGATGTTTTACCCATGATGACTAGGGCGCGAAGAATCGATGTACTCGCAAAATGTAACAACGGGTCAGTTTATGATGTATCGTGCATTAAAAAACGAGATATCACTCTTCGAAAATCGACCTGTTGACAGGCTCACGATTTTAAGGAGTAACGAACACGATATTGTTACAAACAGGGACCGGCTAGCACATTTTGCACGTTCAGTGATTATTACGGCACCCGCGTTTCGATGAAAACGCGAAAAGTGTAACCGAATGTCGAATGAGAATTTGCTACGTTTTCTCCCCTCAGACGTCACGATTCAAAATGGTCGACTCACCTCTACTAGGGCTTTAACACTCTCAGACAATGCAAGAGGTGTTTGACAAAAAATAAGTACGTTACATGAACGATTGGCATTGGTGTGGCAGATATACGAGATTTTCGCGCAACTGTCTCAAGACATCGTTTAAACGGGTTGTGGAATGCAATTGAAAGTGAATTAATAGCAGCGGACACTTTGGGCATGAAATGCTTGCAACGGGAATTCGGTTCAAGGGCGGGTATTTATTCGTTCATCGTTCTTCTCGGATCGCCCCTCTTAAAGGGATACTCACTTCGTTCGAGATGATAAAGGGTTTAATCCGAACCGCTATATTGTATCGGTTAGTAAATTTTATAAAGTCGATTGTATCAATCGCTGAGATTTTTTGCCAACGTATGTATGGAACATCGCCAGTCCGTTTGTTACGTAGTGCACTCCACTTGGCGCATCGTAGTTTTCTATTCGACAACGTTAGATTTCGCTATGTCGATCAGGGTCAGGCTCGTTCTCGGTACATTTTATGATGAATGGTTAGGCAAACATTGACCGGCCAACGGAGTCGTGCGATACATGACCTACTCTGAATTCGTATCGCTGACAATGATGCTGCGCCGCCCTGCCGGTTCTGTTTGTTCAAGACAAGCGATCGTAATGTATACGTAAATATGCACTTACATATATCTTTACTATTTCTAGTGGATTGGCGTTTCATTTATCCGTCCTCTTCGTGCACGTGTACGCGATCCAAAAGTACGTCGCTCCGTTAAAACAATTTTCTAATGATTTACATTACTCAAACTGGACATACGATGGAAAGGCAGTAAAAAAGATGCGTTTGAATGTTGCATTGTTCGTTAATGTTATATATTTTCTGTATTACAATGAGCTTTATTTCTAATTTTGCGGAATCGATCATTTCTTTGTGTTACGAAATCGCATTGTGGGATTCTAGGGAAACCAGAGATGAGTTGGGAGATTGCTCACGGGCAGGATCGTGCGATCGCATTCTGTGCTGCCCTCTGGTTTCGTACGTCAGCTTTCACTGTTTTTTGCCCCCATGCGCGGCGCAACGAATTTCTAGTAGGGGATCGCACACTCGCGATGGCTGTGCCATCTACCAGTCATAGTTGGCGGCTCACGTACCCGTGACGGTAATACCATGCGGCAGTTGACGGTGGTGGCTTACCTACGCTTACCGAACTGCACGCTTTTGATGGTAAGGGAAGAACATTCGTGGCGCCCTCTTTACTCTAAGTACATTGTTGCTCCGAAGTCGACGTGATACGGAGCTTTGGGGCACGCGTCGGTGTCGCGTACGAAACTCTCATGCAGCGAATCTGTGTAAGTGCGATCGTTCCTAGAAATCTTCGCGCGTCCCAACCAGCCAAGCGCCAAGCTACGGGGCATGGCGTTGAGCATGAGTGCGTTCGGCGCTACACTCATANCGGCACTCTCCGGCACTCTACTGCAACTCTCCGGCACTCTCCGGCACTCTACGGCGCTCTCCGGCACTCTCCGGCATTCTTCGGCACTCTGCGGCAACTCTCCGTCACTCTACTGCATTTAACAAAACTCAACGTCACTGTACGGCCTTCGATAAGGCTCGGAAACACTTGAAAAACGCGTGAAAACGATTGATAACGTTCGTCAACGCTCGAAAAACGATCGATAACGCTTGAAAAACCCTCGAAGAACGCCCGATAATGCTTGAAAAAGCGCGAAAATGCTCTTAAAATGACCGAGGGAAGCTCGAAAACATTCAAAAACGGTCGAAAAACGCTCGATAACGCTTGAAAACGCTCTGTAAATGATCGGTAAACGCTCGCAAACATTCGAAAACACTCGAAAACGCTCGAAAACGCTCGATGACGCTCGAAAACGATCGAAAATGCTCTGAAAATGACCGAGGGAGACTCGAAAACGTTCAAAAACACTCGAAAAACGATCGATAACGCTTGAAAACGTACTAAAAACGCTCGAAAACTCTCGAAAAACACTCGAAAACGGTTGAAAAACGCTCGATAACGCTCAAAAACGGTCTAAAAACGCACGAAACGCTCGAAACCGCTTTGAAAATGATCGGGAAAGTTCTTAAACTTTCAAAAACGGTCAAAAAACGCTCGATATCGCTTGAAAACGATCGAAACCGCTCTGAAAATGATCGAGAAACGCTAAAAAACGCTCGATAGTGCTCGAAAACACTCGAAACGCTCGAAAAATGCGTGAAAACGCTCGATAACTTTCGATCGAATCACTAGAATCACTAGAATATCACTCGATAACACTCGAAAACGCTCTGAAAATGCGTGAGAATGCTCGAAAACGCTCTGAAAATGATCGAGAAACGCTCGAAAACTGTCGAAAAACGCTCGATAACGCTATATAACGCTCGAAAACGTTCGAAAACGTTCAAAAACGCTCTAGAAATGCTTGAAAACGCTCGATAACGCTAATAGGGAAATGTAAAAATCATACGCGAAATGCTTATATCCACAGTTAGGTAAGACTCGGGAGGATTTTTCGCAGTATTTGACTCTCACGCATACTCGTCGAGTGTAGCGCCGAACGCACACATACTCAACGTCTCGACCCGTAGCTCGGCGCTTGGCTGGTTGGGACGCGCGAAGATTTCTAGGAGCGATCGCACTTACACAGATTCGCTGCATGAGAGTTCCGTACGCGACACCGACGTGTGCCCCAAAGCTCCGCATCACGTCGACTTCGAGGCAACAATGTACTTAATAGTAGTAGATAAGTATATAAAGTCAAATGGAGCGTCACGAGTGTTCTTCCCTTACCATTAAAAGCGATCAGCGTTGGTAAGCGTATGTAAGCCACCACCGTCAACTGCCGCATGGTATTACCATCACGAGTACGTGAGCCGCCAACGGCGACTAACAAATGGTACCACCATCGCGAGTGCGCGAGCTCCTATCAGAAATTCGTTGCGCCGCCCTTGGGGGCAAAAAACGGTGAAAGCTAACGTCAGAGATGAGTTGGGAGATTGCTCACGGGCAGGGTCGCGCGATCGCACCGTGTGCTGCTCTCTGATTTCGTACGTTAGCTTTCACCGTTTTTTGCCCCCAAGGGCGGCGCAAC